TGTGTGTGTGTGTGTGTGTGTGAGGTCAGCAGGTCGTGGTCAAACTAAAGGAAACCATCTCTAAACCGGTCGTCTGGTTTCACACCTGAGTCGTGGCTTTTTCAGGCTCCTGATCGTCGATAATCACGATTGTTGGTCAGTCGGGCAGACTTTTTGTCGTTTGCGTTGCCTAATATTTGGTGTGTAGCTGCTGCTGATGACTCACGAACAGACACACAAGATGCAAAATGATCCCAGAGACACAAAAGTTAGACAGAAAACTACACCAAAGAAAACAAAACGAGAAACAAAACAACCTCAGAATGACACAAAACGCCCCCAAAGAGAAACAGAACCATCACAAGGAGACACAAAACAACCACAAAACACACAAAATGATCTCACTAAGAAAAGAACGCCACAAACTGACAACAAAGAGACGCAAAATGACCAAAGTTAGACACAAAACTCCCAGAAGGAGACAAAAAAAACTGCAAAAGGACAAAAAACAAGGCGCTGCTACAGCTCACCTGGTAGAGCTGGTGTCCTATGTGTAGGGCTACAGTCCCAATGTGGAGGTCATGAGTTCAAATCCCGCTCATGACCTCTTCTCCCCTACTTTCTCTCGCTAACACTATCCAACAAAGGCCAAAAAAATAACTTTTTTAAAAAAAGGACACAAAACGATCAGAAAGAGACACAAAATGACCACTAATGGACGCAAAACTATCTCAAAAGGAAACAAAATTAGACACAAAACAACCCTAAACAATGACTCACAATGCCACAGAGAGATGCACAATGACAACACAGATGTTTCATGACCAAACTTTAAAAACACTCACAACAAAGACACAAAACCATCTCAAAATTAGACACAAAACAACCTCAGAACGCCACAAACTGACCACAAAGAGACGCAAAATGGCCAAAGTTAGACACAAAATTCCCACAAGGACACACAAAACTATCACAGAAGGACATAAATTTATCAAAAAAGACACAAAATGATCAAAATCAGACACAAAACAACCTCAGAATGCCGCAAACTCTCCCAAAGAGACACAAAACAACCACAAAAGGACAAAAAATGATCTAAAACAAAAAATAAAGAATCAAAGTTAGACATAAAACAACCATAAAGACACACAACTTGACCACAACATTATCTGTGAAGACAAACAAAATGATCCAGGAGGTGGATTTTGTCGTATTTCCAGACGACCTTTAATAACTCTTCACGTGTTTCAGAGACGACCTTCGTTCTGGACTGTCTGTGAGATAACAAACGTTTTTCTGAGGGTTCATAATGAATCTATTTTATATCTAAATACTTCTGCAGTCAGATTTGTAGCTCGTCTTTTCTTTTCTGGGCTCAGCTTTTAAGAAAACCAGCTGGATGTGAACCACAGGCGTGTAAATACGACACACGCGTCGTGGCCTCTCTTCACCTGCAGCCGCCACGTCGCCGCCCCACAATGGCGGCTGCAGGTTCACGTGTCTGCGGAGTTTCTCGGCTCTTCAGACGGAGCGGAGCGTCGTCTCGGCTGCTTCCTGGATCAGCCCGACGGCCTCGTGAAGTCAGCGCCGCTCGCATCGATATTCCATCTCTAATAACCGACCACATTTCCACTGCTAATGACACGGCGGCGGCCATCTTGGCTCCGCGCGCCGTCTCATTACAGGCTATCTGAGAAACCGACGGCGGCGTGGCGGCTCAGTGCACGCAGCGTGCTCGTGTGTGTGTGTGTGTGTGAGAGAACAAGCAGGAAGTGGGAGGTCGGAGGTCATCAGCTGCAGGAAAATATGAGTGTTTGGTTGTTAAGGCAGGAAGAAGACAGTGTGTTAAAGGCTGCAGGTGGCTTTTACAAGGAGGAGACGTTGGAGGCACAAGTCCTGAGAGTTACAGTAGATCAGTGTTTACACGCATCAGCACACACACAGCGGCATGGAAACGCTGCTTTGCTATTATTGTAAGGCAGCTTTTGTAAGATTATTATCCAATTTGGTCATTTTCATTTGTTTTTGTGGCTGTTTTAAGTTGTGTTTTTGGTGATTTTGCATCTTTTTGTACTCGTATTTCATCTTCTGTGGCGGTTTTGAGTGTCTGTTTATGTGTTTAGTGGTTGGTTTTAGTCTCTCTCTGGTCATTTTGCATGTTTATCTGGTCATTCCAACTCTCAGACTCTATTTCTGGTCATTTTGAGCNGATGCAAAATGAGCAGAAATAGATGCAAACCAACCGCAAAGACAGAAACAGAGACTAAATGAGCACAACTAGGAGCAAAACAACTGCAAAGACAACAACGAACAACAAAAACCCCAAAGCAAAGTTAGCATAAATACATGCAAAAAAAGAGACAATAACCAACAGAATAAAACTAAAGAGCACACACAGGCAGACAGATTAGCACAAATTAGTGTAAAAAACTGTAAAGAGATTAAAAAGAATAAAAAATAGACACAAAAAACCCAAAATGATCACAAATACAAACAAAAAAGAGACAAAAGCAAAAACAAAGACACAAAAACAACAAAAAAGGTGCAAAATGAGCACAAACAGATGCAAAGGGACAATAAAGAGACAAATGACAACAAGAAAACAACCCAAAAATGAACAGAAACTGCACACAAATGATGCAAAGAGACAAAAAACAACACAAAATGAGCAGAAATAGATGCAAACCAACTGCAGCAGGTCTGCACGTATCCTGTTAGTGTTTTACTGAATGATGAGTTCCCACTTAACACGATTTAATGACATTTATCACTCAGATTTTAACAGTTTATTTTAACTATTTGTAATGATGTGACTCAGCGACGTGAACGTATGTTGAGAAGCAGAACGGTGGAAGCTGCAGGCGACTTCCTGCTCACAGCGGACTCACTTTGAGTCACGGCGCTCGGATCAGGTGTGAAAACGCTTTGAATAAGGTAAACGGAGTCAGATGTCGATCTCAGGCCGGACCCGGTGACTAATAACGGCAGAGCTCTGTCTGTTATTTCCTCTGCGGTCCGGTCAGACGGCTGGAGGTCACATGACTCAGTACCAAACACAAACACACAACTCAAGTATTTTCCATCTCAGACGCTTCATATTTCTCAGGCTTTTTATAGAAGACAACCTCTGATTCACTGTAAGCTTCTCTCTCTCTCTTATCGCTCGTCTTTTCTTTCTCCGTCATTGCCTTTGGCTGGTTAGCAAAGTTAGGAACGACTGAGAAGTGGGTGAAAGAGCTCTGAAGCCAGAGTGAAAACTGGGTGAACTGATGAGACCAGAAGTCCACAGGGGCAGCAGGGCAGAGGCTCTGTTTGAAGTGACGGCCAACAAGTCAATCAAAAGCCCGCGAAAAGA